AGCAGCAATCCTCCACGACGAGCGGCGTGGTGGTGGGTTACGCCGTGTGCTCGAGCCTCCTAGCCATCATCAACAAATACGCCATCACAAAATTCAACTACCCAGGCCTCCTCACGGCGCTCCAGTACCTCACCTCGGCGCTCGGCGTCTACATTCTCGGAAAACTAGGCTTCCTCCACCACGACCCCTTCTCCCTCCCCACCGCCAAGAAATTCTTCCCCGCCGCCCTCGTCTTCTACCTCGCCATCTTCACCAACACCAACCTCCTCCGCCACGCCAACGTCGACACCTTCATCGTCTTCCGCTCCCTCACCCCCCTCCTCGTCGCCCTCGCCGACACCGCCTTCCGCCACCAGCCCTGCCCCTCCAACCTCACCTTCCTCTCCCTCTTCGTCATCCTCGCCGGTGCCGTCGGCTACGTCGCCACCGACTCCGCCTTCACCCTCACCGCCTACTCCTGGGCCTTCGCCTACCTCATCACCATCACCACCGAGATGGTCTACATCAAGCACATGGTCATGAATCTCGGCCTCAACACCTGGGGCTTCGTCTTCTACAACAATCTCTTATCCCTCATGATCGCCCCTTTCTTCTGGTTCCTCACCGGCGAGAACCACGAGGTTCTCGCCGCGGTTAGATCCGGTTCCTTCCACTCCGCCGCCTTCTCCGCGGTCTCCTTCTCTTGCTTGTTTGGCTTGCTTATCAGTTTCTTCGGGTTCGCCGCCAGGAGGGCGGTCTCCGCCACCGCCTTCACCGTCACCGGCGTCGTCAACAAGTTTCTCACCGTGGCCATCAATGTGACCATTTGGGACAAGCATGCTAGCCCTGTTGGGTTGGTTTGTTTGTTCTTTACCATTGTTGGAGGGATTCTTTACCAGCAGTCTGTGACTGGGCCTGGGACTGCTCCGGCCCAGCCCAAACAGTTGGATATTGAAAGTAACCACGGCAGTGATGGTGATGATCATGATGGATTGGCAGGGGAGAGTGAAGGGAAGGGTAAAGTTACTTCTAGATGAGGATTTTTGTACTATTTATTTGTACTCGCTATTTATTTCATGTTTAAGATGTGCTTTCTGTATAATTCATGTCTTGTTATCTTAACAACAATAGGCAAAAATTTATGCAATGTTGAGGTATTGTTTTCACTTTTCAGAAGGATATGATATGGAATTTCAATTTTGCTTGCGTCCTTTCTTGTTCTGGCTTTTCATTTTTCAATATATAACTGTCTGTTTGCTCTTTGATTCATTTCCATGCTGTCGGAACAATTTTATCTTCTCTGTCTAGGGTTGAGCATCATATAGCTGTAATATAGAATCATTCTCGTGTCTGTCTCTGTCTAAGCTTTTGGGATGGTGAGTTCATTGACAGGTGCTCTGTATGCGTACAAAGTGTGATATTCAGATTTGCGAGGCAGCTTAGTAATTAATAGGTTACAGTGAAGGTGATTTATCTGTTTCAACTTTCAAAATAGATAATCGGGTCTTTTTTTGTTATATAATATATGATTAATTATCAGATCTTTCATCATATTTCCTGAATGATAGCTGTTAACTTGGTAACACTGGGTTATTTCCCTCTAGGATCTCAACTTACATATAATCTGTGTGATATTCTGGATTTCATCCTTAATTCAGACCCAATTTCCAGTTGCCATTTATTTTTATTAAGCTTAATATGACTATATTTGGACCATGTGTCCAGTTAATTTACTGACAAATGTGTGTTCGTGATCTTGTAATTTATTTCTGATTTTGGGTTAGCCATTTAGCAATTATTTTCCCTTTTGACTATTGTGATTTAATAAACTCAAATCGTGGTTTCAATTTATAACAATGCTGCTTGTTAGCTTCTAGTATGTGATTCAACACAACTTGCTGCTAAGCTGCAATTGCACAACTTGAGAGAAGTACAACCAGCTGTGAAAAAGAAAGTAGGTGCTCCTCTTTTTTTCTGTTAGTTAAAGCAAAACACAAAGAAGTGTAGTCCGGGAGCCAAATCGGGCAAAGCTAGATATAGGGAATCTATCTAAATAGTATGCCAGATGGTGTAGGGACTATATAATGACATATTCACATGTAGTTTAAATTTTTGTTATATTTTGTTCTACCCTGCAGCTAATGCCAATGGTTTCTGTTGCTGCTGCTGACTATACCATTGAAGTTGTTCCCTGCATCTTAAATTCGTATTCGAATAGTGTTTCGATCAATTACTTGCTAACTCAGATGAAGCATGCTTGCTTTCCATTTCCCATATCTTGTATCACAAAACCTTTTGACCGGTGTTTTTCAATCTAGCATGTCTTTCCTCTAGTCATTGGACAAATTCCCATGGACTTTGAGACACAACTTAATAATTTCACACCATCACTTTTTGGTTTTAAAAACTGTTTTCTTAATACAATTTCACACTACTCAATAATCAATCTCCTCCAGAATCTATAAGTTTAATTGTTTCAAAATCAAGTTTTTAAAAAAGTGGAAACAGATAGGAGATTTTTTTTCATCCTTTATTTTTTTTCCTTTTCTTCCGTGATTGAATCTGTGTGTTGCTGGTGAAAGCCCCTGTTACTCTCAGTTTTGCTAGTAGACTAGTAATGTTGAATTACTGATGCTTGAGTTCATTGGCTGTCTTTTGGATAAGGAAATCTGTCAAGAGCTGGTTTCTACCAGTGATGAGTGAAATTAGATTACTTGCAGTGGTCCAGCACTTCTTACAAAAGCTTCGTTTCATGAAATAAAAATCAATTTCATGATTAGTTTGATGGAAATGTAGCCCTTTGTTACTAGCCCAGTCCTATTCTCTTGCGGTGTTGCACTGTTGACGTATAAATAATACCACGAAATTCTCATTGACCCCGTCGGTTTTCTGATAATAAGCTTCAGCTTCAAAATAATTCTGCTGTTTATCATATTTAATGCAGGGCATGATTAATACAGTCATAGTTTTTCAATTTTATAATACAGGAGATGGAGATTCATAACTGCTTTAAATCGCACTTATGCCTGGGCTGATGTTACCCATCTGCTAAATCAGTTCGATTTATTATAAAATGAGAGGATTTTATTAATATAAAACATAACCAGCCAATTGTGTACTGTGTAGGAAGGGGAGGTTTGGAGCAGTTCTCTAGGACTTCAAGCTTTAAAGTCTAAACAATGAATCTTGTTGGCGTCAAATGGCATTTTGGGAAAGCATTTTCAACATTTTCTGCAAGTAAATTGCCATAGTCTAATTCAACTACTTAGACTAGAATGTTTGATTGATATATCTTTTGTTGAATAATTGTATAGGCGAATTCTCGTAATTACTTAAAAGGAAAAAGTATTAAAAGCTTTCTAAGTTAAAATAATAAAACTTTTTATTAATTTAAAGTATATTATCCATCTATCACAATCTTTCTCTATTTAGTCATCTGTGGATCAAACGTGTGACAGAACAACATTTTTTAACTTTACAAGCTTATAGTATTAATCTAATTGAGACGGTACGTACACCAAAATTTTATTTTGAGACGGTAATAAATATTTGGACACCGACAGGATATCTCATTGTTCATTGAACTTGGGGCGAGGATGCCTTGGACACTAAATAAAATCAAAAAGGATTTCTCTGGCAAAGAAAAAATCTCTCTCATTGTTCATTGATGGATATCTTTATTTTATATACTTAGATTTGTATATTTTTTTTAATAACTAGAAGGTATAATTTTTTCTTATAGAGTTGGTTTTATTTTAGGAGTAAAGTGATATTTTTAATTTGAATTTGATGCTCAAAGTAGGAAAAAACTTTTGGTCCTTAATTAAATAACATAAATATGAAACTATTTGTGCTAACAATTAGCACAATTTTGAGTTGTATATGCCTTTGAACTTGGTTTGTTTATCATATGAAGGCCATCCGCAAAAGATATCAATATTATTTTATTAGTGCAGCGCTTATTGGGCCGCTTCACATGATGTGCAGAGTAGGAAACACAAGTATGACCCATCAACCTCCTCCTCCGGAGACCGGGTTTGGGTTTTCGAATTAACCTCATGTCGAATTCAAAGTATTGCCATGAGCCAATTTTTTTATATATTAAAATTAGCAGTTAGCTGAAAGTAAAAATTAAGGATAAATATTTAATAATGTTATTTTAAATATAAAATAGCCAATATAGGTTCCTGGCTAGCAGTAAGAAGATTTAATGTAAAAAAAATGAAACAAGGGGGTCCAATATGACCACCTAATTGAATTTTTTTAATTAAATGATATCGATGATATTTGTGCCCATGCACGAACAGCTGGTGTAGAAGTGTTAAATACACACTATTAAATATTTTAAATTATTTAAAAAACAAATATTAATTGGTTTTTGTGTTTTCTTTAGAATAAATATTTTTAATTAAAAATATTTTTGACTTCTTGTCATGTGCCGATAAATACACAATTAAAATCATTCTTGTATTTATTTGAATCAGCTACAGAAACAATAATGTCCAAACATCATTGTGCAAACATCATAATAAAATAAGATGTTAAAATATTTTCACATCGGTTGGGAATATATGATCAAAGTAATCTGTGTACGATTAGGATAATTCTTCCCTCATTAGTTAGATTTTGGAGGTAAATTGAGCTAGTTCATTTCTAATACAACCTGAGAAAAATAAGGAAAAAGTTAGAAAGAAAAAAATAATTGTGACAAAAAATATGTAACTTTATGATTTTTCTAGATGGAAACCAATACAAATATATTTTAACATTTTTTTTACCATTGTTAAAAATTAATACTTAGTCTAAAATGATATTTTTGTAATTAACCATAAAGTAGAAAAATAAAAATAGCAAATATTTTTCAAAAACTAAACGAGTCTTTGATCACCTACAACGGAGTTTACGGAAGTGCTTTGATTGTTTTTACTAATTAAAAATTAATGCCAACTAAGAATTTTCTGTAAGCACCACTGGTGCTTATTATTTTTGTGGGTCCAATTATATCACAATAATATTAAAAAAGAAGCAATTAATAAAAATTAATGTTAATGAATCATAAGAATATCAAGATATCTGTTAGACTTGGTTAAACCATTCAAATTCACGAGTTGAAGAGAAGTGTTGTTTTAGTTATAAAAAACTAGTCGATTCACCTTTGTCTTATACTGAATTTATTTTTTCGCATGTTGACAATAAATTTATTATTAAATATTTTTTTTACAACATTTTAAAGGATAATTGAAATATTTGTTTTTAATCTAATTTTATCAATGTGTTATTTTTTTAATATACATCAATTTTTAACATAATAATGAATATTTCCGTGTGAATTTTATAATTATTTTTACCTTAAAATTGTAATAACTTAAAATCAATGTAATCATTATTGTTTTATAATACCGCTATAGTTTCTTATATTAATGTATTAATATATTATATAATTAATAGAATATTAATTTTAATTTATAAAATCTGTATATAAAAATTTGTTGGAAGGAAAAAAAATTATTGTAGAAATTGTTTCCTTCTTTACATATACTATAGATAAAACAAAATAAGTAATGTGTATTACAATAGTACAATAGTGCTCAACAATTTCACCATTTAGACCTTTTACTTGATGTTAAAATATATAATGATCGGGCCAGCACATGCTTTGAAGTTCCAAGGCTGACACACCAATAATTTCTACATACATACGAGGTATTACCTTCCCTAAGTACTAGAAAGACTGAAAAACAACCTAGACTATATCAAAATTTTCCATGCAAAGAATTATGAATTATGAACAGGATACGTTGTATCTATTGGACTTTCTCACCTCTATTAATTTAATTTCCTTTTCCTACATATACTGCTCTTTCTCTCTCTACATGGAAATCTCTCTCATTCAACAGTAAAACATTACATTCTTCACCTTCTCTTTCAGAGCTGGTAGTGGCCGAACTGACTCATCTTTTGGTCTTGCACCTCGAGATTTTGCTATCTCAAGAACATCAGGTTCCATGTAGAATCGAGCTCTGTAAGCAGCCAAATGAGCATAGTACGCAGGAGGCACTGTACACATAGTACACAAATTACTTTGCTATATGAAACCATTGACACTTGTATCATTTTAAGGAGTGTTCAGTGGCTCCTATGTGCAATTAACATTATGTGCATGTACTTATAAAAGGTAGATGATTATATAAGTAGTTGTGTTAAGCAAGAGCCAAAGACTTACCTACAGAAACAGACCGTGTACATCTAGCATAGCTACAATCACAATAATGAGGAGGTTATTTCATCACAAGAATAGAGCAAACAAATTTTGGATGATGTGAGAGAGGTTAATTACGTGTAGCACAAGTTGTTGGTCAGAGATTGAATCTCATCTGCAGTGAAATTGTTTTCGTCCCACAGAACATGATAATGGGCTGGTCTACTTGTACCCTGTAAATTTCATTAATGTAAATTTATACAGCAATGATTCTTTAACATGTCATTTCTTTACACCCCACCCCAATATCCTACTTGTATACATGTATGGTTATAATAAGATAAGAAGGAAAATCTCTTTCCCCTTTTAAACATAGATATCATTATGACATTATCATACCTGAATTCCCGCATGACTGCATAAATAGAAGTCAAATTCCGTAGGATGACAGATTTTAGAATCCACCACGGTACCTACATTAACCAATCAGAGATGTTTCAACTCTGGGACTAGTAATTACATTGTTAGCAGATGTAATTGGAGAGTAACAGAGTAATGTTATTCATACATAATATGGTGAAGAGAGAGAGAGAGAGAGAGAGAGAGAGAGAATGTGTAGAAATTGTTGTAAAAAAAAATTGTTATATGAATAACATTATTCTTTTTGAAATATTCCGCAATTCTGATTGGCAAGGTTGGTTCTCTAGGCATATGTTCTCTTGGATTTTCATGGATATCCTTAGGTTGGTGACTTGCAATAGTGATAGGAAATGGCAGAAGCTAAAAAAACTTTACCGGGTAAGATATTTCCACTCTTATCAGTGCTGTTTCTGTCATCATGATTGTTTGAGAAGAGTCTAGTGTGATGCCGCTTTTGAACCACAACAAATGTTACCGGAGGTTGGTAACTAGGTTCCAAAGATGCACAAGCCTACACATTGAGAATTTAAGCATCGGTTAAAGCATAGTAAATTTAAACGAAATATAACTGTAATATGTACAAGTACCTTACGGATGGCATCAAGCTCATACAACAAAACCTGGTAGAACTGTCCTTCACTTACCCCATCCCTGTAAATATATTGAATAACATTATAAATAATAAAGACAATCCTCCATTATCCTATTTGTGTAACTGTAATATGTCTAAGTCGTTGCTTCTCATCCCTAACTTCCTTTGCAAGAACAATTTTTTTTTTTTTTAAATAACAGAACTGATCACTCCTACCTGTAAAATATTATCCTCAATGGTTTTTGTCCAGTTGCCTTCTTAAAAGAGAGTAACAGCTCTCTGCAGTTGCACAGAATAGTACGATTCAAAATGGCTGTTGTTGAATAGTTACAGGTAATAAATGCAAAACCATTATCCCTTCCCTTGTAGGCAATAATTGTCAATCACTCAAAAGAAAAGCTTTCTCGTTACACAAAGTAAACAATGTCAACAGAACACATTTTCTGGCTTATTAAGAAAATCAAGTCAATACTCAATATAGCAAGGGGAAATCTGTTATTCTAAAACAAAATAAACAAGACACACAATTTAGAAGAAACATGACCTTGCACGTTATCTAATTATGAAAATGGAGAGGATGCTACTAAGTACCTGATCATGCCACCATAAACTATACCATGATGAGGATCCTTCCAACATTTAAAAAGATCTTGAATGAGTTCCTCACGATGAGGCTGAGCACATACCAATCCTGCATACGTTGTTACTTCCGGCCAGTCCTGAGAAGCTACAACCTGAAAAACAGTAATCAGTAGACCAGATATATTGACAGCTAAAGTTATAGGTGTTTGGGAATACTTACAGCCGCAATGGAAGGACAAGGGTCCTCTCCAGATTCTGGATGAGTTACATCAGCTCCAAAAATTATTGTTGGAATGTCACTAACCAATGGGATCCTCCAACTAAGAGCATCCAAAAGCACTGTGTTCCTTCCTCCCATCTAAAAGTATATTGCATTTATTTTAGAAAACAAAGGTTAAGGAATATATAGAAGTGAATATTCATGAGTAGCAAGTAACCACTCTGTTACTTTGGATTCTAAATTTTGATAAATCATTTAGATTTTATAATAACAGACCTTGACATTGATCTTCAGTGCCACATTTGCCAAATACTGTCTATTAATCTTGAATACGTGTTTTGAAAGACAGCACTGAGAAATCAACCCCAGATCTGTTTCGCAGATTCTTTTGAGATCACCTGAAAGAAGAATTTCTTTCTTAAGTGCAAGCATGAATTGAACGAGTTATCCTCCGGAGAAAAAGTGGGATGAAATACAGGGAAAATAAAAGAGAATCTAAAACAAAGAAAGCTGAGAATGAAGAAGTATTAAGATACTAGGGGTGTGTTTGATTTGGCGTTTAAATCGTGTAAACGTCCGTTCAACTCAAAGCATCAAGACTCATACTTTTCCGTTTCGTTGCTTTGGAATGCACGCCACCGATTATACAAACACATACTAGAACGTCTTGAGTGCAAGCATTCCCATTTTCATAGGCATGTGAAACAAAGAAAGCTGAAAGTATAGTAGTAAGGTAGTAGAACCTCTAAACATTTCTATATACACATCAACCATGTAGCTATGCTCATGAAGTGACATGGAACATACCATACAGAGAGCCATTGTTGTCTGGAAGAATGGCAATCAGCAACTCCAGTTCTTTCCCACCAAGTTTATCTAGTACAGCTGAATGTACATACTTCAAGGCCTTCTTTACCTGATCAGGTCTTGCTGAATATATAGGAATCACAGGGTCCTGACTAAATTCCTGTTAAAAGATAAAAATAAAAAAAAAATGTATACAAGTGTACATGATAGTGATATAGAATAACTAGAGTGTAGTACTGTAGTTATAATTTGAAAAGTGATGTGAATTGCTATTCAAACAAGTAGTCTCTAATTTATAACTTCGAAACAAGGTATGATCAAAATGTGAAGCTTTACCATGCCTGAGATTTGGCACATTTGAACTAACTGTTGGCAAAACCCGCGAACAATACTTTCTTGGATACTTCGTGAGAAATTGATACATGCCCAATATTTTACAGTGCTTCCATTTATAACTTTCTGCATTGAAATAACCAGAATTACATTCAGCTGAGAACAAGTAGTTTTCCATTTTTTTTCACTATCCTCACTGTGTAAATTAGGTTTCCTTAAGTATCACAATTGTGCAATTTTAGTCCCTTCTCCATTACTTTTATGTCAAATATTTAAAGTTTTTGCTGACATGTTGCTTGACATATGATGATTGTGATGTGAGTTAATTACACAACTGCATTAAACCTAATTTTTTTAAGTAAAAATAAATAAATGGAAAAATACATAACTAAAGATTGAGAGAGTGACCAAAATCCTACGATTGGGATATTTGAATGACTTAATTCACTCAATTGGATGAGACCAAAATTGTCCGATGATTCTTGAGGAGTTGAGGGACTAAAAGTGCAACTAAATCAAAAAAATTATTACTATAATCTTTTAATGTCTGAGCTAACCTTGTTCATCATGTTCCATTGACCAACTTGTGGCAAATATTCTTTCTCCCTTCCAGTTTCGTGATATTTCAACTATGAAGATGGAAGAGCCAAAGTGAACTATCAGGAGAATGCCAAAAGCTAGCAATAATTGAACAAATTGAACTACAGGCAAATTACCCATGGAGGAGGAAGAACCCGCGCCTCAACTGTTGCAAGCTTGCTGTCAATGCTGATACCAAACTCCTTTGCATAGGGATTATACTCATAATCATTTTGTTGAATTGTCTGCTATTACATTGGGAAAGTTATGGATTGATTAAAGTATTAAACTAAGCCAAACCAACAGTTCACAGAAAATTTATGTTTATAAAGATAATAAAAAATTGAATAGCTCAAGTTAAAACAATTGCAATTTATCACATGTCATGGCTATTCTGCTCCAGTTGATTCTGACAAAAAAAAGAATAAGAAGAAAAAATAAAGGTTGGAGAGTGATATGAAGAATCCATGACAATGACCTGCAGAATATCTGTCTCTTGTTCACGTGGTCTCTGGCAGGAGACCTTTAGCAGAGAAGTTATCTGCTTTTCGTTAAGCCCTTTTGTATATCTCTGACCCCCAACTATCTTGCATGCCTGGGACAAGAATCACATGAATTGTTCATTGAAAAATAAAGTACCAAGAAAAAAAATGTGTTGAATAAATTTAAAGAAGAACTTACCTCCATAGGCAAATAGTTCACCTTTTTTAGGCTTCCTACTTGAAGGCAGGGTAGATGAGAATATATGATTGTATATCCATACATTTCTTGAAAGTAATCAACTACTGATTTCATGTTCATTTTCTCATCCACAGGGAAACTGTTGGGAAGAAAAGAGACAATCGTTTATTGAGGTAATATCTGAAAATTTTAAGTCCATTTTGCAATGCAAAAGTTACAAAACCATACTTAAGCTCCCTTGTAGGCTGTGATGTCAATCCTGTAATCCTGTACTTTCTTCGAAAACTTCCTCTATGTGTAACTTCAACTTTCACACCTCTTAAGGCTTTCTTAATCTGCATGAGTGATACCTCAATGATTTTATTTTTTTTGTTAGGTATTGCTTAAATGTTTCTCACGATTTAGGGAGATTGAACCGTTACCAATTAAATTCTTCAATGGCCTAGAAAAAGGAACTTGGTTTAAGCGAATTAATCAACAATCTCAACCTTTGGTTGATACACTTTGAGCAGAACAAGAACACTTGTCTGCGTTACATTTATTATCATGTCTCTGGCTGGACCACAAGGGCTCTTGGCCTTGCAGGATACATTACTTTCCATTTTAAATCTCAAATTGAAATCCCAAAATTTCTTTTGCTCAAACTATCATTGTCAAAACAAAGCTAGTGGAGACCATACGGCATGCTATTTTGTACAACTTGTGGAGATAACAGTGTCCGTAAAAACTAAAAGCTAAAGGATTCCAAACTGTTATAATCAAATAAACTTTATACCTTGACACGATCTGCATCTGAAAATGGCTTTGAGAGCACGTCTTTTCCCAAAATTTGAGCAACAAAATCAATTACAGGGAGTGGTTCAATAAACGCCATTGATGACATGTCTGAGAGAAGAGCAAAAGAAACATAAATCAAAAGAGAAATAAAAAAACAGCTTTAGTTTGACTCTTGAAAAATTAAAATGAGTGGCAATATTAAAGAATCTCAACTCAATATAAGAAAAAAGATGATAAAGATATGGTAAAACTCTCACCAATATTTAGTGACAATCCCATCTGAGTTGGCCTTATACTTTGGTAGAACCCACGCCATGATTCAAGGCCACCACCTAGCTGCTTTGGTTTTCTTAAATCTGGAGAATAGAGATATCTCCCAATCGACACGTAGCTAAATATGCAATACAAGCAAATTAAGGTGTTAGAAACAAGAACACAGTCAGTAATAATAGCCTCATTCGGTTCCAAAGGAGGCAATGGATACAATGTAGAAAGAACAACCACAAATGCACCTCTGAGCCGCAAGCTCCCTCAATACAATGTCAATGACAGTAAGAGCCTCTTGTGGAGTGTCCACTTGTTTCCCACTGAGAAGCTCACGTAATTGATGCATGCTAACACGAGCTGCAAACTTGATTACTACTTCAAATTCTCTTTCCCTGATAAGAATGATTGAAACTCATTTATCTACTCTAACCAGAAAGTTTGGTGAGGGGTTAGGAACAAAACATTTAGAAGATAACATTAACATGACAAAGTTAATTGAAAAATCATCACCTGGTAGTACCAGTACCCTCATCATCCTGGCTCAATAGTATGGTAAACTCTTTGTATGCAAACGGAAGCAAGCCAGCAGTGTAGAGATTTCTACCTCCATCATAAACAGGAAGCCTCATCCCCAAGTCAGTGTTCCTGTGAACCCTCACCAACTCAGCTATGATAGCTTTGCTTGTTTTACGAGAAGTAACTTCAGGTGTTATTTTAACCTTCAAAAAATACACATGCTGAAAACTTCAGCACAATTCCTTGAGACACAAATGCATCAGTTTATTACCAAAATGTTGGACAGACTTACATTGTAATGGCTCAAGTCAGATGCTGATATATCTGCAAGGAAGTGATTAGCTTTCACCAGACACTTTGCCCCCAGCTGGCCATAGCCAGGCCTGGCAGGAAACACAAGACTTTTGCATGAAGCAGAAGAAACCAGTTGTGGTGAGTCAGGTCTTGTTTCTTGTAACTTCTCTTGTTTGTATTGGCTTCTTCTTCTAAGCTCTTTGGGTCTCTGCAGTGCCCTCCTACATTTCACTTGATCCTCCATTGGATCCTTCATTTCACTTGCCAAATGGTTCTGAAGAAAACAAGGAAAGAGAGAGATGAGAGATTCCGACAAGGGATGAACTGAAAGGTTTAAGGCAAAACAGGTTCCACGTTTTTACTGAGAACCATAACTCGGCTAATGCACTTGTCTTGAAGGAAGACAAGAGTCAAGAGTTAAAGAAAGTACAAGAGTGGGAAAGGCATGAAGAGGCCTTGTAACGGCTGAAAGCTGAAAAGAAGGGAAAAATAAAAATAAAAAAGGAGAAAGGTGTGGGATGGCATCAAATCTCGACAGTGTTTCATCTCCCCCTAGGCGCTGTACATTCTCTGAAACTGAAAGTGAAAAGATGGGGAGAAAAATAAAGTGACGTGCATACATGCAAAACTACCAATAATCACCTTTAAAATTCCAATAACCATCGTTGCCCCATTGGAATAATGTGATGGCCTAATTTTAACTTACCACTCTTTCATGCTTATGGGCATAATAATAAAAACTCTGCCCACAACACCACCACCACCACTACTTTCCTTAAAAAAATTTATTGTTCCATAAACTCTCAGCCATATGATAGGCAAGGGCAAAGACATTGTACAAGACTTAAAAAGTTTTTTTTTTTTGTGTACATAATGAGATTTAAACTTAAGACATGATACAAATTACACTAGGATGACCCAAAGACTATAGTTAATTATTTTAGTGGGGGTGTGTGAATAGTCTTATGAGCATGCGGTCTTTAAATTTGGTGGTCCCAAAAGGATGTTTGAAATTTACCCTACTCCAAGTTGTTGGCAGGAGAGTTTGTAAGATTGCATGTATACCCTTTTCAGCGACCACAAAGGAGCTTTAACTCCTTCCCAAGTTGAATTACAATGACAGAACGGGCACCACACAACACAACACAAGAAGGGTAGCAGTAGCAGAGACAAGAGGCATAAAAAAGAGAAGGCAGCAAGGGGAGTCAAACAAAAATTGAAGGTAGGTTGGTTGTGCTTGGATATCCGAACAGTGTGCATGAACATGCCATAATGGCTTCCTGCCAAATGCCAAATGCCAATGTCAGTTGTACGTGCAGCCAAGCCAAGGGGTAAATGCTGCAAACTATGTTATGTTATGCTGTGCCTGCCCCAAAAAAATACATTTGGATTTTTGGCACTTGTTTTTGGATGGGTGATGGGGGAACTAGGGATAGCCAAGAATGGTACAACTGATAGTAACGCTCTTCAACTATTTCGGATCATTACAAAGACACCGAGAACAATCATGTGTCCTGTCCCTTTCACTGGCTTCACGCCACAGATAGAACATCCCAACAAAAAACACAAAACTCTCATTTTACTATCAACTATGCTACCCATTTGAAGACACTTTTGCCCTTATTAATTCCTCGACCAAACCTCACACCAAAGGTCTCGCATTTTCTCTTGTCATAATATTTTTGCTGAGAATATAATACTATATTGTTATTAAATGGATTGGTAAGAGGCATTAATTTCCATACTGATGTTGTGGCCAAAGCTATCTATATCTGACTTTCTTTGGTCAATGTGATTTGATTTCTTTCGACTTTGTCACATCTATGCTGTAAATTTTTCCGCTGGGGATACCAGGGCCCCCCTCCTCCAACCTTGGTTCTCTCTAATTTTTGGATGTTTAGTCCATTTCTCGCAAACTCTTTACAACTTACATATTTATTAAGAGCTTTTAAATCAAAAAGAAAAAAAAACAAGAGGGGATGTTCTCCATTTGATAAACCACTTGTTTATAATACATAAAATAAAGATTCTAACACTTTGATTGTCACCTCAACTTTTTTTTTTTTTTTTTATTACAAAATTTACACACATAAAAATTCATTCGACCCTTAAAGTGAATAATATTTCAAGTACAGAAATTTCACTCAAATTCTTATAGAATAAATATAAATCATATTTTATTAATTTTTTAAAGTAGTTATATTATTACGAAGTATTTATTGATAATTAATATATCAAAAAATTCAAATGAATATCTTTAATGAAATCTCTCATTCTATCTACGTTTTTTATTTTTATTTTTTTTTATTTTATCAATAGCTTAAATATGTTTAGTACATGTAAATAAGATAATGTGGGTTTCTAGTCTCTCAAAAAAAAGTTTTTTTTAAAAATTTTCAGTGATGATAACATGTGATGTGGATGCCATTTGTCTTTTGCCCAAGACGTGTTTATCTTTTTGCCCTTTATTTGTGAAAACAAGGACTATTGATGGCATTTTTTCCTAAATGAGAAATTAAAAGAAGATGATTCATTTTTTAAAAAACTAATCTAAAACATTGACTTATTTTCCAAAATGGAAAACATATTTAATCAGACGTAATTGTGGTCGGTCATTTTATAAAAAGAAAATGGTGTTAACAGTGCTGTAAATTGAGCTGTCAATATGTCACTGTCCTCTGATAATGTGTATATCATATATTGTCCGTATTACATTGCTTACCCGATTCAGCACCAACTCCTTCACCTAAGCCCATCTTACTAAGGTAGTGTTTGTTTCTATTGATTTACTGGTCACGACGAACGAAAGGCGAGGAAATTTCACGTTTGTTTCTACTGATTTACGAGGAAAGAAAGGCGAAGAAAAGAGGGAGAAGGGGCGTTGGGCGTCTTCGCATTTTTGCGAAGAAAAGAGATGAAAGCCACTTAAGATTTGAGAAAATTCCATAATACCCCTACTCCATACATGCAGAGACTGTGCCATGCAGCAGAGAAACGAAGCATAATCGATTATGCATGCCACATAATCGATTATGAGCTTGCATAATCGATTATGCTGAGAACATAATCAATTATGCAAGTCCATAATCGATTATGTGGCTTGCATAATCGATTATGCCGAGGACATAATCGATTATGTAAGCCCATAATCGATTATGTGACTTGCATAATCGATTATGCCGACGACGGAAGTTATGACACCCTGTCCTTAACTCAGCAACGGATTTCGACGCCGAGAAATTCTCCACAATTGATCTCAGAGCATTCTTTTTCCACTCGCCAAGGTAGAAAATCTCGTCCACGTCGAAGAACCCCACCCACTTGCATTCCTCCTTCGCTTTCAATCCACAATGGGAAAACCCCGCTTCTTGGCTTTTAATCCAAGGCCACACCACTCTCGTAATATTGTACCCTTTAGAATCAAGCTCTCACGCCACGTCATCAATCTCATCGTCGCTGTTGTTATCGTAGATAAACCACCGTTGCACGCCCAGCCACGCGTGGTACATCACCCACTTTTTCATCGAACGTGCCTGGTTCCACACCATGGTGCACGCGCACAGTTCAAACTTCTCCTTCTCCCCTATCTTTCTCCGTCCCTGCCAATTCTAGCCACCGTAGGCACGCTTTTATTTTTACGCACATGACTCACGGTCACGCTTATTCCGCGGGCCATGTCGGGGTTCTTAAGAATGCTCTGCGGCAACGAGCACCGCACGACTTCCTGCGCGGCGGAAACAGCTTTCGTGGTGAGCCAAAACGCACCGTTTTGGGGTCCGAAGTGACAATGGATTAATTATAATTTATTTTCATTATTATTAAT